GTCGTAATCTTGTTTATAATCAAACTTAGTTTTCCTTCGAACACATCGATTACTTTTTGTTTATGTTATACCTATTAGAATAGCATAAAATCATAGCTAATAATCCATATTTTAATAGTATACAAGTTTTAATTTCTTAATTCTATAGGGCAATATATATAAAAAAAATCCTGAATTTCCACTAGTGTGAATCATGTGACACATTTTGTCTTAGCATGTCATCATCCCTATTTTATCCATTACCCCTCAATAACGTATGAAATTAAACAAATTACTCTTCTATAAAATTGTTATTGCTCAAACAAACCATAATTTTTATAGTCTTCAATTTTGTTTGGTTACAGAGCTATCGATTAGAAAATCGGACCCCCTCCTGCCACACCCACCTTTCACAATTCGTTTATAGTTTTTTCTCACGTTTCATTATATATTACCTATAACCAATAGAAAGTCTAGGTTTTCATCTATCAAATGACATATTGTATAATGTTGCATCCTGAACAGAATATCGTCAATTTCACTCACAGTACAAGATTCGTTCCCAAGGGAAAGTTAACAACTACCTTGGATGAATTTGTAACAGCTCTTGTCCCATAGTTAGAAAGCCAGGAAAATTTTGAAAGGTAAGTGAATTTGCCTACTTTTTGCATGTAACTAGTCTAAATTCTTTGGCGCATTAATTATTAAATTAAAATTAAGTGCATTACTATCATTAGTATAAAAAATCAGGGTTAACTCTCTTCAAAACCTGACAGCAAGAAAAAAGAAGATTAGGTCAGTACTTTATTTCTTGTTTTCATATTTCATAGTTTTTTTTTTGGTAGTTACGAGGTCAGTCGAATTGACTGATACTGTTTTGAGTTAGGGTAGAGAAAAAAACACAAACTATAAAGTTTTTACTGAAAAAAAAAAACGTTTGAAATGCATTTAGGAGGTTTTATGTATTACACAAAGGAAATTTGAGGTCTTTGAGATGAGGAAAAGTATTTTTTTATTTTAACATGAAAATTACTTTGCACACGGACTATTCAAAACAAATACTCAATATATTCATGGGCAAATCGTTATTTTAATTAATTAAAAATACTTCACTAAGAAATATGAGTTTTTGTATGTAAAAGACTTGTAATATTAACTGGAAGACTGCCAAATGTCATGAAGATATACCCACTATATTGAGAGTCATAAGTATTAAATCTATATAGACTTTAAACGAGTACAAAAATGTCACATGGTCGGTCAAATTGACTGAGCCCATACTGAAAGTGTTAAAATATCATCAGTTTACTTTAGTTTAGTTTAAGTGCACTTACCTGTCTCTTAAGTGAAACAATTTCCAAGTCTAATGATCTCAGAATATTTTCAGCTTGATTGGGTGGTCCTGTTGCTATTGTAACAAGATCTTCATGACTGAGATACATTCCTCGAGGAGGTTTTCTCTTACTTCTCATTGGGTTATGACGAGCTGATGTAGATTCATGCTTTTTCATTGGACCACCAGCACTGCGCATCATCCCAGTTCGACTGCATATAACACCAATGATTAAATATAACTAGAAAATTTTAATTAAACAAACAACCATATAGATTTTATTCAATAGAAGGTGTATTCATGTTCTGCAGTTATGTAGCCACAAAGACAGCATAAAACACTGATGACTAGTAAGTGTTGACCAGTAGAAACACTACTTGTTCTCATATCCTAAGCATATTTTTTCCACCTATATGTTTGATCAAGTTAAATTTTGTTAGTAAGTATAGTTTGTTTTAAATAACCAAAGAGTTCTTGTACTAGTATGAATTGTTTAAGTAATAATAAATTTACTCATAAACACAGATAAAAAAGATTTGCTGTTATTAGGTTTGTATTGTTTTGAATTTCGTGCAAAGCTACACGAGGGCTATCTGTTATTATTATAGTTTGCTATCACATATCTCATAGCTTAATGTACTCATTAACCCTAAATATCCTTACATATTACATCTTCTCATATAAGAATATTCCCGTTGTTTTAAAACAGACAGCTATAATACATAACAAAAATATTACCATGAAAGAAAACATCATCAAAAGAAACTATACAAAAAATTTCAGGTTTGCCACTTGTTCCAAAGTTTTACAAGCTTTGCTTTGTTTTCCACTATGAGAATTTCTCCAAGTCTATTTTCCAGAAATCATACATTATTGTTCATCTAAGTTTTATTTACTTTAAAATGATGTAGATAAACAATAATGTTTAACCATTGGTTTTACCTTGTTTGGAAGCTAAGATTTTATTAGTTACTAAACAACCCAATTGCTGCGGAATCAGAAAAATGATGTTCCTGAAAGTAGTTATTGGGAAAAAAAGGAAAGCCACATAAAAAAAAAACCCTCAAACTTTCTTCTTCACTCATGGAACAGATATATTCATCTTAACTCCTTCAACTTGTCCTATACTGCTCTAGGAAGCTTATATTCTTCAAAGTTCCCATTTAAATTATCTCTCAGGTTATTTTCCTAACATTAACATCCTACTCAGTGCTCAAACAACTTTTATAAGTATTAAGTACAGACAAAACCTAAAGGATTTTAGAACATTTCATTCCTAAACCTTCAACTAGAAGCTGACAGAATTATACCATACTTTTAAGATTCTCAGTCAACAAAAATAACTTTTTTTCTTTGACAATTCCTTGTGGTATATAAGAACAAAAAGCCTTTATTTACTCCTGAAACTTTTCAGCTTTGGTTCCACAGCTAAAACCAGTTAAGTGCTTTTGAGACTGTATGAAAAATATAAGTTTGATTGCACAACCTTTTCTTGTGGAACTTATAGCAACAGTTAATGCATTTCAGAATTTATGAACAATGGCAAGTACAATAAGCAAATATGAACCTGGGTTAAAAGAAATAAAAAATCTCTGAACAATACATTCTGGGACTAAACATATAAAAGTTATGAGTTTGGTGAGTGTCTGAAGCTCCAGAAACATTACATTCTATATGCTCATTAATGCTATTTGGGCATATTTTGAGGCCTAATTGGGAGTTCATTTAGGAGTATGAAAGTTAAAATAAAGCACAAAATAGCAAAATACAATATCCCTTTGTTTCATTTTGTTTCGAAAAAACTATTTAAAGTAAGTGTGACTTTTTTTTTTTGACAACAAGCACCACTGGTAATCACCATGAGCTTAGGCCTTACTGGCATAAAGTAATGTTACTCAGTATCTGGATCAATATGTAACTATACATAGTCAAATCGGCAAAACCATTAACATTAGGGCTAACTTTTGAAATAAGATGCATCTGACAGACCTAGAGAGTTAAAGTTAACTTAAAACACATTGCATCACCAATGCTAGTAATATACTATGCAGTATTCTGCCTAGGCCTGCAGTAGATCTAGATCCTACAAGAAAACATATTTTTTATACATTTATGATCTTTTATTCTATAGATTTACTTCTTTCTAATGAAGTCACCCAGAATGCTCTTAATAGGACCTCCCTTACATTAAAATTTAGCAATATTTTGTTGATATTAATAACAATTTCTTTCTCAAGCCAGGCCTAGCTCCATTAGTTCTTCACTGATGCATCTATTTTCTATACTATGTTTGCATCTTTCTTCTCAACAGCCTTGACTGGTGTGAAGCTCATTGTCAATATTTATACTGTCATTCAGTACATGCATTCAAGTATTTAACTGTTAATCTTTGCACCAGTGGGTTAGGCTTTCATGTTCAGATGAACAATAATGGGATCAGATTCAGAAACCCACAACATTGCAGATACTCCCATCATTCTGGGAACCAGCAGCGAAAATACACCTGTGTTCTGATAAGATCATCCGTGGAGAGCTTGGTTTCCAAAAATGTTTGAAGTCTTTGTAAATCACTTATCGTAATTACACGAAGATATATGGAATATGAGATCAGAGTCTAAGCCATGATTCCTACCTCATTATTATATATCACTCAAGCTAAAAGAATTTATGGTATACATAACCCAGAAAAACGTAACTTTTTAAACAAAATGCACATGTTTAACATGAATTGAACTGCAAAACTGTTAGAATGGCTACAAGTACTTGAAAATATTATTACACAAAAATTTAATGTAACATAATGTTTTGGGACAACATGGAACCTATCAGTCCATCTCGACTGTTCCATCCTCTAAACTAAAACTACTAATAAATACATTTAAAAAAAAGAAAATCTTAAAGCCAGCCCTTATCATTCATATACTTATCAAGCTTTTTCTTAAACTCACTTAAATTTACTGCCTCCACAACATCCGAAGGCAATCCATTTCAAAGGGCAACCACCCTGTTTGAAACATAAAATTGTCTTAGCTGAAGATGACTTCTTTTCTACCAAATTTTATATTTGTGTCCCCTAGTTCTTCTATTCTCACTGTTAAGTATGAGAAAAGATGATACATCAACACTATCAATTCCCTATATAATCTTAAACACCTCAATGAGATCCACCCTAACTCTTCCTTTCTCAAGAGAAAACAATTTGAGAGATTTCAACCTCTCCTCATATGACAAACCCTCCATCCCATGCTCCATACTAGTAACCCTCATCTGAACCTTTTCCAACAATTCAATTCCACAAAAATAGTGGCTCAAGATTGAACACAATACTCCAAATGTGGCCTAACCAGTGACCTATACAATGAAATTATAACCTCTTTAGACTTGTACTCAATATTTCTGTAAATACAACCTAAAATCCTATTTGCCCTACCACTAGCAACAGCACACTGCTTGGATGGATTTAGAGACTAATCAACTATTACACCAAGTTCTCTTTCTTTTATGACACTGTTAAAGTTATTCCCATCCAAAATTACTTATAATTCAAATTATGATAACCCACATGCAGAATTTCCAAAAATCACACAAAAAGCACGTCTGAATAAGAGTTAATTGTATTTATAAATTTACCATCTATAAAATTATAAGGTATTTTAGTGTCTCTTAGATACTGTATGAAAAATACTTTTTCTGCACAGCTCCTTCTACTACACACTGGAATATGATGAGATGAAATTGTTAGGAGAATTATACAAAACAAAAAAATCATGTAGAAGTATTCTTAAGAAACCAGTTGAAAAAAGGGGGGTTTGAATAAAACAAAAAAAATAAAGCAATTACTATTCACATACTTAAAAAATTGTGTGAGACTTTTTCATTAAAAAAGGTATATCACCACAAAATAACATGTTTATGTACACATAGTCTTTGTACCACTACTAGATCTCAGCAACAAATTTCAATTGCAGGTGTAATTGCACAAAATCTATAGATCTACTCATTGAGATGCCCTAAAGTGCTAACTCCAATTTTTCTTTCAAGCATAATATACATGCTATTATATCTGCTACTTATACATGATTTCTGTAAAGGTTGAACCAAGTGAAAAGTCTTGGTTTACTAAGCAGTGTAGGTACCTACAGAATTAAGTATATTAATAGTTTTGAGTATACTTACTGATTAATTATGTTACATTACAAGTTACAACATTTGAAGTAAGTAAGATTTGTTTCAATCTCCTGAGAATGATTGAATCAGTGATCGAAATGTCATACTTATTAAAAAATAATAATAATATATTAAATAACAGAAATATGTTATAACAGTGGTTGGCTTCATCAGAAGCTCTGGAGATTTTTGGTCAATTCTATGAACTTTTACAATAACTTTATGGTGATCCACAGTCCTACTGGACATCAAAATGGTTTCAAGTTATATGTGTATATCACCTAAACACATTTAAAAAGACCTGTACAACTTACAAATTAACTTGACGTAACTTAACTTCATTTATATACAGGATTTTACATTATTATTTTGTATACCAATCTTCTAATGCATTTTGGTTCATACTACAATTAGATAAAATTACACAATTAGATTCATAATTATAAAGAATGTACAGATATAACACAAGTAAATGAAAAAACTAGTAATCTAACTATATCATAAATGGAAAAAGTATTAAAATAGAAAACTATCATTACCGCCAATATTGATAACAGCCATTGCACAAGATTCCTTTAGAAGTTGTAAAGAGCTGGGAATAACAAGCTCCACAGTTTGAGCAAGATTTAGGTGATTCTTCTTTCTACAATACAAAACATACATGTTTAGTTATAAGAAAGAAACAATCAAAGTTTTCTACATACAAATATTTTTTCATGCCTACTTACATAAAGAACAGCTCCACACAAAGACCAATATCATATCATAGAGATGCATCTTTTTTTTTTTCAAAGATGCAAGAAAAAGACTATAATACAAATTGTGCATGAAAATCTAAAACACATTGCAAGAGGATGTAATTAAACAAAATCATCACATATCTACCAAAAAATATAATTTTAGGAAAGACTAGTCAGATACAAGTATAAAAGTAGTATTCTAACAAAGAGTATTATGTTATCACACAAAAATTCCTACCTCCATATGTCCAATGCCCGAGCTTGGCAAACAATTTGAGATAAGCACATATCCATAACTTAAAATAACATATTCTAAAAAATGACCAACATAAGTGAATCAGAATGATCCAAATTTGTCTAAAAAGACAGCCAATTCAATGCATGCAATAATATTTATTTATGAAGCATCTAAACCAAGGAATCTAATGGTGGCAAATCTACACATTTAGAGCAGAATTTGGGTACATAAGCAAAAATTACAGGATTTAATGTTCAAATTCTCTTCATTAGTGAGAAAATTTAATACCACTGCTATAAAACTAAAATGAGAGAAAATATTGAAGTAATTGTTTAATTACTATACAAGGTAAATTAAATATATTTTACCAAATACTGAGTTTTGTTTTTTAATACTGGCCACCACGCAAAAAAATTTTGCACTCCAGTGTAAATCATTTATAAACTAAATTCTAGAATCCAATTTTGGTAAATTAAAGCATACTTACATTAGGAAAAAATCTTGTAACAAGTATATCTTTTTGTGATAGATATAAATCTTTTTTTTTTAGATTCCTTCTGCTCTATACTAATGGTCATTAATCTGTGCTATACAATTATAGTTGATGTTGTTTGGTATAAACACATTCAACTACTTCCAAGTAAATTCTTAGTTTTTGAAGAGTTTAAAATTGAAAGTTATTCACTAGAAACAAAAAAATGACAAAAATCACAAGAAAGTATATTTAGTTTCATAAGAAATGTTATGTTCAAAGGTATGAAGCAGGCATTCTATTACAGTTCTAATATAATAATAATAAAGTAAATATTTACCCCTTCTCCATTTTCTGTTTCTATATCACTGTCATTTTCAGAGGCTGGTTCTGACCCTGCATCACTATTTTATACAAAACATAGACAATTTTTCCACATTACAAGACTGAACTAATTCAAATTTCAATACTTGTGATCATATATGAAAGAAAAGTAACTTTCAACGTCCTAATCTAAACTAAATGTAAAACTCGATATAAGTGCTTCCAAATCAAATACAATAAATTTCATACTACAAACTGAGCTAAATATAAATTTCAATAACTGTGGTTGCAAGTACAGGAACAATCACTTTTAGATTACACAATTAAACAAATTAAAAAACAATAATTTTAGCACATTTGGGTATACAAGAAATGAATAAAACACCATTAACTGTATAAAAATGCAATAAAACATATTTATTGAATTTCTGAAATGAATGCTAAATCACACAAAAACTAAAATATTTTAACCACCTATTTTCATTTTGATGGCCCGACATTTTTCGTGCCTGTCGATCCATCAAACTAGTTCTGGTTCTTGTTTTCTTCCATGAATAATAATACTTCACTAAGCTTGATATGGATTTGTCTGGCAACTAACAAAGAAACATACAAATACATTATGATAAATAGATTTCTTAGAGTTGAAAACAAGAAAAAGAAACAAGTTAAAACTAATTTAAAAATACACTGTAATGAACAGTATTACATTAAAATGAACAGATAACATGGACTAAAACTCTAATAATTGCCTTAAGTTAGGAGTGTTCTGAAAAGATTTTTTAAATACTATTTCAAATGAATGAAAGAAAGTTATATGAAGTCAAAACAAAACTGATGATGGGAGTTCCTAAATTTAACTTATGTACTAGTTCACATGTACTTTTCAACTGCTACAAAAACAAAAAGAGCATTTATTTTTTAAATAAAGATTACCCTTAATGCTTTATAATTTGATTATTATTAACACAGCTACTTATATTATTATTTGTTACAATTTACAAAGTTATCCAGCTGTATAAAAGGTAGAAACTACCTTAAAAGAATGAAAACCAATGCTTTATATCAAAACACCGTAATTGGATTGTTAAGGAAAAATATGAAAAAAAAAATCCTGTTTCTTGTGCTGATGATTATGTTAAAAATGAGTCTATCATCCTGCAATGTGTTGAATGCAAAAGACAGATATATCAAGCCCTAACTGGCTCAAAAGCTAAGCCATTTCTGTTCATTAACCATTTCTAAGCAGCCGTTCTGGCTAAAATATTTATGCTAGCTATAATGACAAAGTAAGCTAAGATGAGTTTCTTCTTCATATCCCACTACTTTTTATCTTTAAAAATTACAGATAACTTTCTTGACAGTAAATAGCCTGTAACTATAGAAAACAAAACAAATTCATGCATGCACCTTATTTTATGAGTTGTAGCTCTTGAAAAATGGCGCTTGGTAACATAGTGTGAGACAGAATTGAAAATATATATTTTTTTTTTCAAGAATCTATTTCTAATCCAGTTTTCCTGAAATCTACTTCAGCTAAACACTATCCCATTGAAAGTCAGTATCCTCATTAAATAATATGTTTACATAACTATTTCTTTACTAATTACCTCTTCCACCAAAACTGACGAAGTTATGTTTCACCCATGTGTGTTTGTCAGCAAGATAGTTTCTGTTGCTACAGCAGAAAAATGTTATTGTGAAGATATATTCATTCAATTCACCTGACAAACTTAATCATGAAAATGTCCTCGACCATGTGCTTTGAAAGGTACTACACATAAAACCTTTACGAAGTCGAACTTTCTGTTGATTTTTAGTTGTGTGTTCATTTCTCTGCTAATAAGAGTAAAGTTCCAATAAATCCCAATTTTTCACCAAATTAAACACAATGATATTTGTTTTTTTACTTTTCTTACCATCTGACGAATTTTGTGGAAGCTTTTACCATGAAACTGGAATGCTTGCTCAAAAAGAACCTTATCTTCAACTGTCCATTCATCAGGGAATGGCGTAAAATTGGGAAGGTCAGCCAAAGCTTTCTCCAAGTCATATTTATGCCAGAAAAGCATTCCAAGAGCCTAGGACAAAAAATTATATCTCAATAAATTAAAAAACATTTCAAATGTTCAACATGTAACAGTTCAAAAACATCTAGTGTAATTCCACTTATTTCAAGTAATATAATGTTTGTTTGGTACAGGGAGGAAGATGCTTGAAAAAGAATTTTTTTATATACATGATAAATAACCAACAATTCAGTGGAAAGGTACAAAGTTGGATGCTATGCACAAGGATTTCTGTAAGCAATAACAATAACACTGGAACAGTGTGTGGAAATCCTCAAATGTTGAAATGTTAGATTTCCTGTATTTTATGATAAAACCACATGCCTTGAAATCAATACAAAATTGTTATGAAGCAGTGTTTCATAATGTCAAACTATTCTTTAGGTAATTATTTAAACTACCATGCAGAAGAATAGCTTGTGTGTCTCATTCAATCCAATTTGCAGATATTAACCTTTTCTCAACAGGCACGTCAAAGAGTGGACATGTCACATTTTGTAATTATGTTAAAAATTTAATTAACCTACTTTATTATCAATAAACATAGCTAACGAATCAAATTTTTATATTATATATATATTTTAAGTTTCAATTTTATAAGGAAATACTAAAAACCCTCAATCTTCGCTGGCATGAAAATTGTAACACTTGCTCTCTAGGCCTTTCCTCTTCTCTAATAAATTTACTACTTCTCTGAGAAGTACAGAATTTAAAGTAAATTTACATATTATAATATAGTTATTACTCAGGCAAAGCATAACTTTTTACAGCCTTCAACCTTATTTGGTTACAAAGCCATACACCAGAAAACCAGACCCTTCTTGCCATGCCCACCTGTCACGTCCCTTCCTTCACAAATTTCCAAGAGTTCTCTTTGATGTCTAATACTATATTCATTATAACCAACATAAAGCCAGTTTTAACTAATCAAATGATGTATTATATTATGTTGTTTTCTGTATTGAAAATTGTCTATTTTGCTTCCAGTTCAAACTTTATTCCCGTGGGAAACATGAGGAGCTTAGCCAAATATTTAATGGCTTTTAACACATATTTAGAAAGCCAAAAAATTATGATTATAGGACATTGTCTGCTTTTAGCATACAGGCTCTTAGTTGCAGTATTTAATTGAATAAAAAATTATTTTGTGGTAGTAGTATAAAAATAGCAGCAGAAGAAAAAAGAACAACAAGAAGAAGTAGAAGGCGACAACCCAGGAAAGAATTATATTTCTTGTTTTTCATGTGTATTCTTTAGTTAATATTATAAAAGTAACCGAAATGTAAAAATCACAAACTTATTAGGTTAGATTAGGTAAAATAGAGAAAAATAATAAAAATTTTGTTACAACTTGCAGTCATTCCAGAAAGGAAAAAAAGGGCAACTTAGAATTAGTTCCTAACCTTTTTATGGTGGTTACGAAATCAGTCAAATCGACCGACCCTGTATAGAGTTATAGTTTAGAAAATAACAGATAAAATATGGTTTTTCTTAAAACAAAAACAACAACAACAAACAGAAAATGCTTGATATTTAGTTAGGATATTTTGGGATTATGCAAATGAAATTTGAAAATTTTCAGATGAAGAAAAGTATTTTTATTCTTAACATCATAGTCACTTTACAATCAGAGCAATCAACACTCTGACTCCATATAATTAGACAAAATTTAGTAAAAATACTTAACTAAAGATGCTGAAAAACTTGAAATGCTTACTTTTCAGTAAGCTTGCAAAATTTCGTGAACATACACAAAACGCACTAGAAGTTATAGTATTGAAACTATAAAGGGCAATTTGAGGTCACAAATTCGAGTGATTCAACTGAGAGTGTTAAAGGATTATAATGAAACTTAAACAGCCAGCTTAGTAATGTTTCATTTTCATGACTTTTTATATAGCTAAGTAAACTTCTAATTACTGTTGTTATGTATGTAGGTTTGCACATGACTATCATACACGTGAAAAGTAACAAACCAGAAAAATTATTTTACCCTATATGTAAACATTAAATTTGCTTTTCAGTTACAAGTAAAATACAGTATTTTAATTCAAAACATATGTTTGATCAGAAAAAAAAACTTAAAAAATGATTCACATTTTTCGATGTTTGCTCAAGACTGGGTGTAAGCACCTGACTAAATACAGGTACTGTAAAAAATAAAAGACTAAGATAAGATATTCCTCTAAATACGAATGTCAGCTGTAATGTATGATGACACAGGTGGCATGTGCGAGAAGTTTCTCAAATGATCGTGAATTTCCTAGTTTGTTCGGGAAGCCCTCTTTTTTAGTATATTATGAGGGAGACGAAGTCTCACAAACTCAACTGCAGGAGGTGGGAAAGAACCTCCTGCAACATAAATTAACAAGAAAAGAGGCACCTAGTGCACACATCAGTTGGAACAGGCTGATCTCATCACGAACCTGGCATTATAAGGAGGATCCCACATCGACTGGACCCACTCCAACCAACATGTGTCCACCTGGGAAAAAGCATCTGGGAGAAATGAAAGGAAGAAACCAGCATTGCCCTCTTCTTAATGACTAGCTATGGCAAAGTTGAATTTTGAAACTCACTCAGGAGGAAACCTCCATGGTCTACTGCCCCAAAGACTTGGAACTGGCAAAGACTCCCACGTTCTACAGGAAGAAAAGAGTGGAGAGTCCAGAGAAACATCACATCGGAGGAAATGCAATGGGTGTCTGTGATTCCCTACTTTGAAAAGCAGACCAACCTAGATTTAATCAATCAAAGGGTCAGCAGGGATCGACAGAAATCCCCTTCTGCTTTACTCATGAAGTCCATGAGTGACAGTCTACCACAGATTGAAAATTATTGATATCTAGTACACACACACACACACACACACATATATTTATATATATACCACTGGTCTTGCGGAAATACTCCATCCAAGGAAGCCGATCAGGATCGGAATTGGAGTACCGGTGGCAACATACGTCTGAGGGAGGAAGGATCAGTTGTGATATAGTATGACACAATAAGAATGGTAGAGGAAGTGGGTAACTCCCACTTCTTTTTGCATATTTACATGCAAATGATCATGCAGCAACTCTCCATCAATAAGAGTGTGACACTATCCCCATCATAACTAGTGCCCTCTCAAATAATGCACCTGTTAATCACTTCGAGATTGGCTATGACCAAGTCAACCAATACACCAGAAGTGAGGAAAACAGGTGGGAAATGTGAAAGGAGGTAAGTATTTAGCTTAGGAAAATGTTAACTTCCAATATGATATCTTGCATCCTCTCACAAAAAGCTAGAGTCCCACAGTGAACTAGAGGTGGGCTGGTAAGAATATGATCCTCCTTGAGAAAGCGCCCCCCAAAAAAAAGACCATGAGGTGTGGTAAAAAATGAAAAATGTCACAACAATGGAAGACCACATCACTTTTGAGCCAGGTATACTCCTCACCCTACAAGAATGTGTCACCAAAACTGAAAGGGCAGAAACATGGAGGGTCCCTAAAATGTTATCAGCAGTAAAGGGAAAGTGTTGAATGGATTGGGCACAACAGACTGTAAATGGGAGTTTGACCTAAGCCAACAACTGATGGCATCTGGAATTGTATATCAGGTTTGCGGAAGGAAGAGGGTCCTCTACTTTTCAATTCAAAAAACAAGTACTGGATGGAAACATGAACATCTGTACCAAGAACCTGACTCCACATGTGCACACCTCCAACACTGGATTTACCAGGAACCAACATCCAGCAGATGATAAAAGTAAGGAAAGCTCAAGAGCCATTCTCCTCTGGTCCAAAACCTGGCAGCAATGGGAATCTTACATCCAGTCCATGGTAGGAACAGAGAAGTCAGCCTTACACATGCAGTAACCATGTGTTTCATCCAATTTCAAATAACATCAAACATAAACTTATGGTAATATCCCCAGTCCAAAATAAGGTGGCATTGAGAATTTATCATCCAGTCTATGGTAGGAGGAGGGAACCAGTAAAATACATTAGGTCTTATGTGGCTGGACCATCTCCAACTAACACCTGACCCAACCAAAAACCAAAATCCAGAGTATGGTAAAAAGGAGGGGCAAACTGGAATATATATTTATATACGTGTATAAATATGTGGTAGAGTGCTACAATCTGGTAGCATCTGGAATTGTACATCTAATCTGTGGTACGAAGGGCATCATGCTATCGACACCAGCAGAATGCAATCATCCTACTTTCAACTGAGTGATACTGTATTTCACTCAGGAAGACTGGCCTCCATGATCCATCACTCCAGCAGCTAGGAACTGGTAAGTGGCAAGAACTCCCTACTCCACTAGAAGAAAGGAGGAGAAAGTGTGTTGGTGAGTCCAAAGGACTGCAGCACTGGAGACAGTGCAATGGGAGACCATGATACCCTATTTTGAAAGGAAGAACAGAGTCGATCAACTAACACCTGGCAGCATCTGGAATTGCACTTCAGGACCTCGGTAGAAAGAGCCTCAATGCTATGGAGAATCAGAGATGTGCAGTAATCCCTGTCTGCTTTACCCATGTAAGTCCATGAGTGTAAGGTCTGGGACAAACATATTTATAGAGCAAAAACCTACTAGATATATCTACAATTGGTTCTATGGAACACTACATCTCAATGACACGTGTAACGTGTTATATTGTCTCAAGTATAATACTTGATATTGATCCTTAGATGACCATTGGATGGAGTTCAATCAACCAACACCTAGCTGCATCTGGAATTGTACATCAGGTCTGCAGTAGGAAATGCCCCAATGTTATAGTCACCTAGCATGGTCATGGGACGTACAGTGCGGATTTGATACTAAGTATACTTGGTCAGGCACCACTCATCACAGAGTGGGATCCATAATGAATGAGCAACACTTCCCTGTAAAGGAAAAGAAACAGAAGTGCGTAAAATGGTGACTGGAGGTAAATGGAAACCTATAGATTATGAAATGGTCATGTGATGTAGGTAGTAAGAAGTAAAGGTGTGTGGGATTGTCCACATACTTGC